ACCAATAGCAGACTGAACTGCTATACACCCTGCCTTAACTGCATAAATAGTATTTGGTAGAGTTTTGGTTGCAATTTCACGCTCTGAAGGAAAAAACGTCAGTTGGCTCAAGACACAGTAGTGTCATACAAAAAACCTTCCCTATAGTTTTTGCTTCTTCTACACACATATTCCTCTGCATTTTCACTAAACCCAGAAAGACTCTTCTTTTTAACAATAAAGTGACCGAGGATCAATATCAGTAAAGGAACAGAGATTCAGATGATGAAATCAGTATTATGTTTCTGAATGTAACTATGATAACAGGGTCATGAAATAGTTTAAGTACTTACCATTCTAAATATTAATAAGTTATGGTATAACTGAAAAAAATAGTTTTCAAATATTAAAATTAACAGCAAAGTATGAACTGCTGCTACTTCAAAAATTTCTATCTCCAACTTAGCAGTAAAACTATAATGCCAAATTAAAAAAAAGAAACCATTTCTCAAAAATTCAGTAATAACATCTGGATTTTATTTTTTAACCCTCAGACACTATGATTGCAATGACAGAATCTCATGCTTGACTTTTCATATAGTAATTCATACCTGCATACCATGATGGCATTTGTTCCTTAGTCTCAGGCCTCACAATTCATCTCATAGAATTACTGGAAAATAATTCACACTATGCTGTATCCCATTAGTTTACTCAAAATATATTCTCTGATGTTTCTAATTATGTACTGTTTTCATAAACTTATGAGTGCCATTTATTAGGAAAACAGGTGACCTAGACAGCTTTAATATGTGCCTCTTACCTACCTATCAACCTAGCTATCATTATTTTATCAACAAAAACACAAAACTTCAAGACTATAATCTCTGACAAAGTAGAAACAGCAGATAACCACTCTGCCATCCTAGCGTACACTGCAGTTGTTTACACAGGGACTTCATCCAACTCTCCTCTGTCTTGGCGTAATAAGGAACAATATGCTATGTGTTTTAAGTAGAATACTTTCATTTAGCTGTATTTTATATAAATGCTGGTTGAAAGCAATGGAAAACTAGACACACCCAGCCACCATTTCCTATAATGTGTTCCAATTGCATCGTTTCCAGGTAGAAACTTAGAGTTGCTTAGGTTCTCCTAATTTTGTTACTTCCTTTTTTATATTTGGTCTGTGTGCATTCTCGTATATATGTATATACGTATGAGATGTTTGAAGAACTCATCTTCATAACATCTTGGGTCTGAAATACTCACACCAAAAAAATTTAAAAAAATTATTTGTTTACTCATGTCTTACAAATAAAGAATACTCCATATAATGGTCACAAGAAATAATTCCCAAAATGACTGCTGATCACATCCAAGAAAAATCATAAACCGAATTTGAATCTCAAGTTCAACTGTATAAAATACTAGTAGAATATGTTAAAGAAAAATTAAAATCTCTTCACAGATAACTTGATTAAAAAATAGAGACTAAATTTGTTAAGTGAATTAACAGTGCTATTTCTAAACATGGACTTTTTGGTCAGCCTATTTGGAGCATCTGTACTAAGATTCTTTGAATACTTCTAAGTAAGGCAGTACAGTTTTCCATAACTCTTCTTTATATACCTCATCTATTGTTCCATCAGCACAATGCAATATCCCATGACCTTGACACTGGTCTAGAATCCAGTTTCCTTCATATGTAGTTTTGTTCCTAAAACAGTGAACAACAAATAGGAAATTCTTAATGGAAGAGAGGTTTGGCGACTTGGTAGATGAGACCATTGGAGAAAATGAGGGCTGAGAACGAGCCAGTAACAATAAGCAGCAATAGCAGACAAATCTAGCGGCAATCAAATTTAGCTCATAGTCATCTTATGGCCCTTTATTTGGGCTTCAAGTGGCTTGTACGGTTCAGTTCTTCAAGTGTGACATTCTAACCTGTAATCTAGGAGAAAGAAAGATATGCCCCCTCAACAAGCTAGAAATGAAGGTCTTGTTTATTTCTTTTAAGCCTGATCATTTCTGGTAAGCACTCAGCAACATTTGTGTCAGAACTATCTGTGAGTCAGCAGCAAAAATTTAGCACAACTTCCTTTGTAACCAATAATAAACCAGGATATCAGCAAACACGACAGGCCACTAATTTAATCCATGGTAAAACTACTGTTAATCTTACACAAGATTAGAGATTATTATACAATTTTTGGAGACAAGTGTCTTAATTCTAGAGAATCAATGGTTCACAGGGCTTCTGCAAGTGAAATGACAAAATCCTGGGCAAATTTAAACTTAACTTAGCATTTGTCATCCCCTAGGAAATCATCAGGTCATGTTTACGCATTACATTTTGGAGAGACCAGCCATCATTTTAACTATACTGTATTTACATCACAATATTCTAAGCATTTTTAATGGAAAACCATGTGTCTGGGTAACTATCTAGAGCTAATTATAAATACTAGCATGACTGGGTTAAGAGCACAGTTGAAGCACATACCACAGCAAAGCAGGCATGACTTGTGAACTGCAAGATATAAGAACACAAAAAGGAAGGACAGAGGCACTGGCTAAGTCCAGTCATCCATTTATCTGCTTTCCAACTGTGGCCACAGGCGCATGCCTAGAAAAGAGCAGCAGCAGCAAATTCCCCCAGTAGTTTCTAAACCTACACATTTTTCCAGCTCAAGGACTTTTGGAGGCCCAATGTGGTTTCTATGTATTTAGAAACTTGGTGGATTTTTCCACAATGAACTTACCCAATTTCATTTCTTTCTATGATCCACAATATCCTTTGAAAAAGTTCCAAGAGTCAACCACACAAGGTGCAAAGAACTGTTTTATGTTTGTTCTGAACCCGTCTCCCATGTTTCACTAGATATTCCCTAGTTTTTCTAAGAGAGGGGCAGCCAAGAATTGATCTGTTCCATTCTCCCCATACTATTCAAGTTTTTTGTTGATCTCTATTTATATCTCTGCTAAACTGTAGCAAAGTGACAATTCTACTATGTACTTGTCAGCACTTTCTATACATTAGAGTCCCTCAAACCAGAACTCATGCTTCTAGAGCTATATCTGCTCCGCGGTAAGTTACTCTGAATATGCAATCATCCATTGACGGACTTGAAATTTAATTCTCAATTCTAAAAATATATATGGCTTGAAAACAGCTCATAATGCCAGTTTATAATGTTTGAAATAGTTCACTTTCTTAAAAAAACCCCATAAATTCTACAGTTTGGTCTTTTTTAAAAAGATTTTAAAACACTTGCTAGATCTCAGCTTAGCTATCACAATAACTTCAATATAACATGAAATGCTACTTACTACAACTGAGGAAATTAGAGGTCAAAGCAAAAGAGACAAAAACCAACACTTACCCGATATTCATTTACCCTCTTTCATGTTTTTTTACTTTTGTGAAGGGATCCTTGGTAAGTTTGTCCATCCTTTTCAATTAGTCATCTATAACCTAAGTAATAATAAATTGGAATCTGTGGCAGACACGCACACACAAAAAAGGAACACGCGCACACACACACACAGAGGTAGGAAAAATCTTTCCTGCCTGCAGTAAACTCTGCTGATGCCATAAAAGAGGCACATGGCTACACAGGAACTCTCAACCTCAAACATAAGGTTCTGTCAATCTGATAATGGTTTCTTCCCTACCCTCCAAACCACAGAGGTGATCTGTATATAGGTCAAAAACCTATCCCCGTGAAAATAAACATTTTCCCCATTGGCTCCCATAGGATCAGAATGAGATCTGTTTCTTAACTCTTTAGGCCAGGGATCTGACATTCACAGCAACCTCTACAACTACACTAGTCTTACACAATACAGTAAGCGACCACTATCTGTTAAAAAAACAAAAAAAACATACATACATATAACTATGTAAAAAAGCAAGAAGAGATCCATTTGCCTTCCTGTTCTGTCCAACAGCCTGTAAGACCAGTTTTAAAGACTATAAATGATAAAAAAAAAGGGGGGGGGGGAGGGAAGAAAAAGATTGTTGCAAGCTCAATTCATTTATACTCTCAGTATCAGACCCCTGAGCATGCTCAGCCTCAGTTCCTCTAACCAGCTTCACCTGGGCCTCCATCTATAACCTCTGCCTATCGGCCCAAGAGCTTCACTGAAGGTCAGGCCTGTGCTCTCAGTCCTTGCCTGAGCTATGCTGTTAAGTTTAGGTGTTCAGCTTTGTTTCCTGGATAGACTTTGGACATATATTCTAGTCTTGTTTCTAGTTCTGTCTCTGGTCCCATCTTACGCTGTTCCCAACAGGATTTCCTGGACGGTCTCTGGACCTGATCCACCACCTTGCCACCTTCAGGACCATTAGTGAAACCTCTTATCTACACCCCTACTCTGACCATCCTGTTGAATTGCAACAGGATTGTGCCACAGCTGATGAGGGCACTGCTCTGCTCATGCTGCGGTCACCTTTTCCTCTGCAATATCAGTGAAATGCTTGATGAAATTATAGACCTTGGACCTATTCCACAACCTTTCTTCTGAATGCAGAGGAGAACATTCAGCTGTACTTCAAATTTCATAACAGAATCGTGAAACTATATGAATCATGAATGGGGAAGAATGCAACTGGGAATTAATATGATTAGCTTCCAGACCCGGAAAAAAAAATTAAACTTTAGCTTAATGCATAACAGTGCATCACCTTACAGGATCTGAGTGGTTATAAAGGGAGAACAGAATCCCCTGAAATTTTTAAAAAGTAAGACATTAAAACACAACTGACTGGAAGTAAAGCATCAAAACAATACATATCATCTCTATGAAATAGTTTATCCAGTTTCTTCCCATGACAAAATACCTCCATGGCTCACTCTACTTGCCTCAGTTGCTCAGTTACAATATCTTCAATTGCTAAGTATCTTACTTAGCTATAGTGCACAGTTCACATAGAAAAATCTTTAAAGTAAGCAAGTTAGAGAAAGGAATTAAGAATTCACTTAGCTATTACTTAGTGGGGCTTTTTTCCTCCATACCATGTTCTTTCTGCCATTTCCAGTCCCCATCATATTGAAAAAAGGGATTAGGATAGATGCAAAGTCCACATCCTAGAAAAAAAAAATACTGTGTTAAAAGAAACGATAACTGGAACTATTTAAATAAAGCAGGTTCAACACTGAGTAAGTAGTAATACAAAAGTAACAAGAGTGCTGTTTTAACTTAGAAATCCATATTTTAAAGTTTCACTATAAACAATACATATATAAAGATAAATCTATTATTTTGTTTACAACTTACATTCACTTTATGTCATAGATGGGAACTTAGACTCTCTAAATACCTGAAGGTCGTTATAACCATCACAGACAGACTACATAAAAACAGTCACAGGCTAAAATAGAGAGTAGCAAAGCTACCACATCACACTTGTTTAAGACAAGAATGCAAACATATAAAATAAAGCAAACTTAGAAGAGGAAAAAAGTATTTGTATTTAAATTAGCCTAAACGCAGGAGTGCAGGCTTTGCACCTCTTTGTCTTAATGAGAGACCAACTCTCTCAGGCGCTGCGGGTCTCACCTTCGCCTTCCCAGGTGAGGTGAACAACCTGAGGCGACACCGCGCAGACCCTACCCCGAGGGAAGTACGTTACTGAACACGCTGGAGGGAGAGGGGCGAGGAGAGAGAGGAGAGAACACGGCCCTGGGCCTCACAGAGCGACGCCGCCCCATCCCGCGCTGAGGTACCAGCTCGCCCACACGACACTGCCCGACATGGCCGCCGCCGGCCCCTCACCAGCCCCACACAGGCACCGCAGACGCC